GTAGCAAGGCAGTTTTGATACAAGAAAAGATGAAATAAATTCAGTGATCTAATTGAATAATGCAAGTAGAAATTAAAATGTACTGTTTACTATATTCCAGGCATAGTTTGGTACTTTCTAAATCATTTACCATGATGATATCAATTAAGCTTCATAAAATAGCATAAGTACCATTATTATTTCCATTTTATAGATAAAGAAAGTGAGGCTTGCAAAAGTAATTTTCTGAAGCCAAACATCTGGTAAGTAGCAGAGGTAGAATTCAAGGCCTGCAGTCTGGCTTAACAGCCCCTTATTTTACCTGTGATGAAAAAGTGTTTCTTGTTAATATAGCTATGAACATTATTTATGCCTATATTTTGCAGATAGAGAAACAGTCCAAGAGAGATTTAAGCAATTTGTATTTTGTAGTTTAGACAGTTCTAGAACTCAGATTCTCCATTCTAGTGCTCATATTTTTACAGCCTTCTTCTGTCTATAAAATCTATTAATGAGGGATTACGCATTACTTCGTCTTAAGAGAAAAATTTTTAAAAAATCTTAGAAGAGTTAACATGTCATCTTTCTTAGACCTAATAGTAGAGACCAAAGTAGCCCTCTTCCAGCTGTGTGATGCTGTGTTTCACAGTAAGTCTGGCTTTTGTCTTTATGAAGATATAATACTTTATTAGGATCATCCTACGTACACCAGGTCTCAGGCAGAAATAAGATTAGATCCTCAGCCATATGTTGTACTTAAAAGAAAATCTAATTCACAATCTTGTACAGTCTGACAAATATCTCCATTAACAAATCTTAATCATGTGGGTGGAAGAAAGGAGGGTGACCAAAATAAAGTTGCTCAAATATATTTCAGCTATTAAATGCTGCAGTGCTACAAACCAAAGGCTTGAATTGTGCCATTCCATTATCGGTGAAATATAAACTACAAAATATACCATGATGAGACACACAACTCAGTGATACTGTGAAGTTCTTAAGTGTCTGGTTCCACTCTTTCTTTGGCTTAAAAATGTTTTACTGCCAGAATCTTTATCCTATAAGATAAAGCCCCAAGTTACTTCTCCAGGTTCAGCTGCTCTAACCTGTTGGCTATCCCACACTGCTCTCAGTTGTCCCTATTATACTTTTAACCCTTGCTCTTGCCTGCCTCTTGGGATTTGATACATTACTTTGGTTTTCAGCTTTGATCCTTAGGACTCAGGTGTTTAGCACCCTGATGACACAATCCAGCACCACCCTCACTGAGACCTTGGGCCAGCTGCAAGCTGGAAGGCAACAGGACAGCATTTAAAGACCATTGAAAAAGGATTAACAATTCTATAGCCTGCCAAGAGGTTGAAAAATGTTTATAATTTTATGAGAATTTAGAGTTCTTACATATCATTTATGAAAAAAATACTCCCCTCCCAAAGACTCAAGGAAAACAAACTTAGGTCATAACTTAAATGCAAGCCTTCCAGGACAATATAGACAGGAAAGCAAAGAACTGTATGGAATGAAACTTGCAATGTTGTATGTACATATGTATGCATATATAATGCATTATATACAATCCAAAATTTCAATGAATAATAGCAGGCTGTCCAGGAATGTGCTCTATTAAGCACTATGTATGCTAAGGACTCTGGAAACTGAAAAGACAAATATATGTGGCATCTTGAAATAAATACAAAATCTCTAGCTAATTCTGCTTTTACTGTAGAAAGATAACAGCACGAACTAATATCCAACAGTGTCATGAATTTTTGATGACTGAATTGAGATAAAAATCAAATGAAATTTTATCATGTACAGTAATTTGAAGCTATTTTGAGTATAAGATTTTTGCAGTAATCACAAACATTAATTTGATAAAACATGTAACCAATTAATGTTAGAAAATAAAGGAAATACTGAAATATTAAATTCCCCAATGTAATTAAAAGCTAAAATAAACTACTTGCAAAGTGCCATATGTTTATTATCCCATAGTGTTGAATAAAGTAAAAATCAATTCATTACAATGGGATAAAAGACACATGCCCACTCACTTATATATTTAAATATTTTCATTATTAACATCTTTATTTAAATGGAGTTTTTAAAGACTATATTGTCCAGGAAATGAATTATCTTCCACGGAAATTTAAATATTACTAATTAAGTTTTAAAATGTTGTCATCCTAGGTCTTGAAATTATTATTTTTAGTACTTATTACCTATTCAAATGCAAATTTACAAAAGTTGGACTAGTCTGTGAGATTGTCGCGTAAGTATAAAATCGAGATGATTAGTGTCCACAGTATATTTTAGTTTCATTTCTCATTTTGAAAGCTATTTGTTTTAAAGAAAAATTCTTGCTTGATTAGAGCTCATTACAATTAAAAATACATTTGCATTTAGTACCAGAGAGCCAGGCACAAGAAACTTAATTTCCTGTAAAAGCATGTCATTTCCACACAGATATTTTTACTTTAGTGAATGGATAATTAACTTCTATTTTTAGTGAGAGGGCAAATGTACGTAAACTTAAAATCCTCCCATTACAAATACTCAGAAATAATGAATCAGATACAACAAATATTATTTAAATATGTAAGTGAAGGAAAGGGAGATCACTAGGTAACACAGGGGATGAAAGAGTTGAAAATCAGCATGACACTCAATGTACATTCATACTGTGTCTGTCTTGTTGGCTGATAGAGGGGAGAGGAGAAGAGGGAAAAATGGATCCCATGCATCAAGAGTTTAGTTTTTAATGGTCATGGAAAGGAGCTGGGGGATGTGAAAACGAGCTGTTCAGGGAAAAAGAAGGCCTAAAAAATAATCTTCCCACTGTCAGGGATGTGGTGAGCAACAATGAAGCTAATAACTTCCTGTCCTTTCACACCCTACCTCTAGAAAATCAAAACCCTGAGACTCTGCATCTATCCCATTTACAGTACCCATATGACCTGAGATCCTCTTCCCTTCAAACACACACACACACACACACACACGCAAGAAAGGGAACATAAAAACTGATTTTGAGCCAGTGGTATCCTTGACCACTGCAAAGGCACAGGAAAAAATATTCTACAGAGATATGACCAGGATGTAGTTCCAAAATGTACTCATAGGATAAATACAATAAATGTTTTTAAAAACCTCTTGAAGAAAGGCTCACAATAAAAAATTTTAAGTCATAAGAAAAACAAATAAGCCACAAGTTAGCAGAAACAATAGATAGATTAAATCCCCAACCCTTAAGATAGACTGACAAATATAACTTTTATATAACTAGATAAAAATAACTATATATAACAACTATATACTTAAATAGCTATCAATGTATAATTATCTACATAAGATATATAACTATCTATATAGAAGATATATAACTATGTAAGATATGTATCTTTATAAAATTTTAAATTATAATATGAAAAATAAAGCACATTATATAAAAAAGAATAGGTCCATTTTTAAAAGGCAAATAGATCTGTTGAAAAGGAAAATGTAGGCACTGACATTTAAAACTAAATCAACAAATTAGAGCATATTAGACACAGCTGAAAAGAAATAGATGAAAGGAAAATATGTTAGTGAGATTAACAGACAACGATAGAAGAAAAGGCTTCGATATTCATCTAAAAGGAATACCAAGAAACAGAACAGACAGAATGGTGAAGAGACCATATTCAAAGTGATAAATGGTTCTAATTTTCTCCAAACCCATGAGGTTTGTGAAACTTCACATTCAAGAAGCTCAAAAAGTCTTAAGAATCATAAATAACATTTTGAAAAATAAAGACACGGTAAACATAAATCCCCAATGGCGGCACATCAAAATACACTGAAGATAAAGAAAATGCATTAAGAAACCGGAAAGAAAATAGGGAGCACCTACAGAGGAAACAAAATTAGAGTGAAATGAGAGCACAACTTTTCCATAGAAGAAAAAAGACAGACAAAATATTTTCAAAAAGAAAATATTATTCAAGAATTAGAGAAGATAATTATATTTCAGGAAAACATTTCCTGCTTATTGACAGAATGACAGAAAAGCAAGAGATATAATTAAGAAAGAAAATGTGTATGGTTTTTCGTTTGTGTGTTTCTTGTGCTTGGGATTTATTTGTTTTGTTTTGTTTTGTTTTGTTTTGGTCTGTCTTTGGTCTGTCTCTTTGCAGCTCTCCTCTCAGGTACTCTGTCCTGGGAATTTCATCTGACTGAGTCTCCTTAAACATTAGCCTTTCCATGGATCACTCTCCCCATGATGGTGCCTGGAAATTCAAGATATTTTTCTTTGTTTAATCTATGTATTCATAGTTTTCATCCTGTTTTAAGTTTAGCCATTATTTCTTCAAAACCTTTTATTCTCACTCCCTTTTTTAGGGAGTCCAATTTTGCATGTCTTAGACTTTGTAAAGTTGTCACAGTTTTGGGGGTGTTTTGTTTGCTTTACTTTGCTTTGTTTTCTAATCCTTTTTTTCTCTTTGTGTTTAATTTTGGATCATTTCCATTGCTATATCTTCAAATCACTAACCTTCTCTTCAACATCTTATTTGCCATTCATCCCTTCCAATGTACTTTTCATCTTATACCTTGTAATTTCTGTCTCTATAAGTTTGATTTGAATCTTTCTCATATCTCGTATTTCTACTTAACTTTTTGAACATCTGGAATACAGTTGTAATAACTGTTTTAGTGCCCTTATCTGGTAATTCTAACATCTGGACCAATTTATGATCTGTTTTGAATGATTGATTTTTCTCTTCATTTGGGTCTTATTTTCCTGTTTCTATGCATGCCTTCTTGATCTTTGTTCTGGAATGCAGTTGTTTAGAAACAGTTTGATTCTTTTAGGTCTTGCTTTTAAGATTTGTTAAGCAGCACAAGACCGTACTGAATCTGGAGGAAAATATTTGTAACTACCGAAGCAATATCCTACCAAATGTTTCATAAATCATGAAGTTATTCAGTCTGGCTACTGGACACAGGTACAATTCTTAACCATCTATGAGTGCTGGGCATTATTATCTCTAATCATTTCAGCTTTATTCTTTCCCAGGTCTTGGGAACTTTCCTCACATGCATGTGCTGATATAAACTCAGTCGAATGCTAAAAGGAAGCTTCTGCAGATCTCTGGTCTGTCTCTGTGCAGCTCTCCTCTCAGGTACTCTGTCCCGTGAATTTCATCTGTCTAGGTCTCCTCAAACACTTGGCTCTCCACGAATCCCTCTCCCTGTACTGTTGCCTGGAAACTCTTTCATGGTCGTAAGTTCAAGCAATAGGGCTCACCTTGTTTGTTTCTTAGGGATGACTACTCTTCATTATCTGATAGCTGATGCCTTGAAAATCATTGTTTTGTATGTGTTGCCAGGTTTCTTTCTTTTTTTTTTTTTATTGCTTCAGGCTGGAGGGTGAATCCAGTCCCACCTACTCCATCTTGCTCAGAAGTGGACACTTCTTCAGAATAAAATTGTAAAATGTAATGTATGGATTTCTTTTTACCTGTTTGTGTAGCTAAAGAGGAAATAATTTCAGGTGGATCATTTGGTTTGTTGTATTTCTTTTTCCTTCATGAGTAGAATAATTCTATTTGTGAGCCATCCTTGTATAAACTGCACATGAGAAAATTTTGCTTTGTTACTGTCTCCATCTTCTTTCCCTAGTGCCTTTCTCCCTTGCAAGAAGTCAGTGCCTCCATGCCCCTGTGGGGTGAATTAGGGATGCTGTTACAAAGACCACCATCATCAATTTCATATGCTCACAATCTCCCCCAAACTCTCCACCATTGACCTATTTTAGCTCTTTTTGTTTCAAATCCCTACTTTAAGTTAGGAAACTGAAAGTAAATCTATGTTGACGGGTTAATGTAAAATCGTCTTTTTGTAATTGAAACATTCTGAAGAGCCTGAATTCACAAAAATGACAAACTCTGAGGAGAAAATTTTGGATGTGGCAGCAGGCTACCAGGAGCAATATATTAGCCAGGTTACAGTAGGTGAAACTATTTTGCATATCCAAGGGCCGGAACCACTTATGGTTCTCACCTTACGGCTTATCAAACTAAACCCTTTATTACCACATTCTGCCTTTCTGATTTCTAAAATGTAACATATTACTTTATTTTCTTATATATTCAGGACATATTCCAGATACTCATTTTACCTCTCCTGTGACCTATGAATATATGACACAAATATGAATTTTTGAAATTTCACACGTATATAAGAATTGTGCATTAAATGAATCTATCAACCTAAGTTTACTTTGAGAACTTCTGTTATGAACTTTTTATTTATAAATGTCTAATTCTCTATGAAGCAGAAAATTAATAGAATTCAAAAGTTTTTCTTTTTCCCTTGAATGAAACAAAATAACTCAAAAGCCTAAATAATCAAATTAAATATCCATTATTTCTGATAACCATATGGCTTTGCATTAAATTACAGATATAAACAAAAATTTTATGAAATTATGATGCAAAATATGGTAACTATGTCAGTGATTTCTTGATAAAATCACAGAGCTGGAGGGTGCATTTAGAGGTCATCCAAGGTAGCCAGTGGTCTTCAGACACCAAGCACCTACATTAGTACTGAAGATTAAGAAAACTTTATTATATTCTGTGCAAGTGTATTTCAAAATTCATGTTTCATTACAGGTGTATAGGCCTTTTAGTAATTAGAATAATTTGGACAGAAAGTTGAAATCTGTTACATTATTATTAGGAAAATAAATTACAAATAAACAATTAGTAAATGTTTAGTTTTCTAAGGTCTGTGGTTATCAAGACCTATAGGTTGTTTAGTGGGAATAACAAGAGGTTTTAATTCTGTTCTAGCTCTGTCACTCACTTTGTCAAGTTGTCAAATCACTTAACTTCCATGAGAATAATTGTGCGCTATTTTAAAGTATAGATAACAGGTACCTTGAAGAAGTCTTGTAAGATTCAGAGTTTCTAGGTATTCGGTTCTCAATAAATGAGGTTGTTACTATTGCTATTGGAAAAAGACTGTGCCCTTTGATAGGTAACCTTCCCTCTATTATCTAGAAAACAAGCTATCAAACTGATGCCACAGGAAGGGAAAAAAATCCCTTTTTTCTTGGCTTTTCCCAGTCCTGAAACACCAATAATTAGCTTTTCCTTCCTTTAGAAAGCCATGAAGGGGCTAAGAAGCTAGGAATAGTACTGAGCTACAATGAGTACAGAGAAAGACCTATATACTCTTTCAAGTCTGTATCACAGGAAACATTGTGACCTCACATTCTAAGTCTTGAGAGCACACACAAGCCCAAGGAATTAAAAAAAGGAGAAAGAGATTCTGCTCAAATTCAGAGAATAACTAAAATAAATTAACTAGTAATGGTTAAAAATTAATATTTATCGAGAATGTTCCAACTCTATCCAGACGATTCTCTTTCATTATTTAATCAGCATGTGTGTTTCCCCTGGCATGGCCTTCCTTGGAAAATATGGGAGAAGGAGCTTAGTGTCCTGAGTCATCCACCTGTGCTCCACTGCTGCACAGAATGCTTCACCAGACCACAGGTTACACCTCACTTTGCTGTCAGTCACCACATCAAACATCTGGACTGCGGTGCCTCAAGAACAGCTGTTTCTATCACATTGACTTCAACAGAGAGGCCAATGTGAGTCATGTTATATCTGTTCATAGCCCAGTTGTAATATTTGCTACCATTCTACTCCCCAAAACTATAAAAGTAATAAATTGAACTGAAGATCTGGCAATGCAGAGAGGCTTTATAAGCAGTAACACTGATGTGTTAAAAATGAGAATTTGACATTCTTGTGACTAGTATCTTGTACATCCCACTGAGAGGAGTATTTTACTGGCTTTTCTCTAAAGGGTGAGGCCTTCTATCAAGTTGCCTCATCTATTCTCTTATCCCTTATTTCTGTCCCCATCATCTCTCTATTTCACTCTCTGACCCCCAAATTCATGGTTATTTATTATAAAAAGTAGTTAACTACCATCTTCTTGCACAATCCTCTTATAAGCCATGCTCTTGGACCAACTTCTCTTTTCACTACCCTTTCACTTCCTTCAACCAATATTCTTAGTTACCAACTAGGTAACTTCCTAATCAAGGGGACTTTCGTGTTGATATGAATGATCCTTCACAGTTTAATGACCAACTCACACTCCAATAGCCTAAGTCAGCAATGACTCTCAAGACCACGACTTGCCATCATCCCTCAATATTCCTGTAATGAATATTTAAAGTCATCTGTGATAACCACTGACCTGTAACACAACATGATTTCAAGGACATCATAGGATTTAATTTTATTTGATGTGAAAGGAATTTGACAGAGGCATAGGGATAACCTCTGATTTTAGCAACAATCATTTTGAAAATTATCAATGAAGAAAAGATATTACAACCAAGCAGTGGATTCCTTTGTTCTATTTAAATTACAGTATCAGAATACACACTTTATTTGCCACTTTTGAAAAAACAAATTCAATGATTCTGTGAGGTTTTTGTTTGCTTACTACGTGTCAGGCACTATCCTGAGCATTTTATATACCAAAAAAGGACTAACAGCTCTTTCTTTGGCCTCCTCTCTGGAAATGCCTGAAGACTAGACCTTTGATTTGCAGCAGCAACTGAGGAATAGTTAGATATTTTCCTATATTGATGCAAGAGAAATGAGAGTTCCATGGAAACGATTAAGCGTGTGTAACTCATTGTCAAGGTTGTTTAGCGAGTAATTGGGAACTAATGAAATGGAACTGCCCTGAAGAAATGGGGCTAATCACATAAACCTGATTAGATGTGATTACTCAGTCACATACACATGGCTTGATATAAAAACTGAAGGGAGGAGCTCAGAGCTGATGGTTTTCCCGAGCTGAAGTTGTATTCAATCAACTTTATTCCTTGTGGCCACACACCCAGGGTGCAGAATGACTGGGACATCCAAGGCTGTGTCTGAGAATCATGAGACCTCTGTTGTGTTGTCGTTGTGCATGCTATGACACTGGTCCTACACATTTTATTCAAGGCAAGTACAATTGGTGCTTGATGAAGTCTACTGTGAATCTCAAGTCTGACTGTCGATCAAATCAAGTTAAGACATAGTAGAGTGTCACACATTCATTTTTCATACAACACTCCTATGCAGTTTAAAATAATTATTACCAGTTTGCAGGTAAGAAATTAAGTAAAATGAATTTAGAATTTAAGTAAAATGATTGAAACACACATAGCTTATAATTGAAATAAACTATCCTTTCTTGAGTATTTTTGAAACTGGTATTTTTCTAATATAACTTTTTGATATTTAAAAATAGCGAATATTTACTTAATACTTTTGTCTATATACAGCTACTTCTGTTAGTAGCTGTGTGACTTAAAATTTATTGTTTGAATAACTAAATTTTTTTTAAAATAAAGTTAATTTAAAATAAATAATATCCTGTTTTATGTTTATGGAAGGTTTTTTGCCTATTTATAGAAAACGTAGAACCTATAACAAGATTAAAGAAAAATATTGCAATCCCTTGTAATTTCGAAGTCCAGTGATAATTGCTATTAAATTTCTAGAAACTGTGGTATATCTAGATAGATAGATAGATAGATAGATAGATAGACAGACAGATAGATAGATAGACAGATGATGGAATACTACTCAGCCAAAAAAAAAAAAAAAGGAATAAATTAATGGCATTCGCAGCAACCTGGATTAGATTGGAGACTATTATTCTAAGTGAAGTAACTCAGGAATGAAAAACCAAATATTGTATCTTCTCACTCATAAGTGGGAGATAAACTATGATCATTCAAAGGCATAAGAATGACACAATAGACTTTGGGGACTCAAGGGGAAAAGGGTGGGAACCGGGTGAGGGATAAAAGACTACAAATTGAGTTCAGTGTATACTGCTGAGATGATGGGTGCACCAAAATCTCAGAAGTCACTACTAAAGAACTTACTCATGTAACCAAATACCATCTGTTCCCCAGAAAAACATAGGAAAAAAAAATTCTAAAATGTTTCCCTCCAGCATTTTTCTTTGGTTTTTCCAAGCATATTTTTTACATGACAAATTGCATATTATAGATTACATAAGATTTGACATCCTGATGTGTTTATTTTTATTTTATTTTACTTATTTATCTGTTTTTGCTTAACCTTTATGGAAAACAAAAATGACCTTTTGAGTAAGTGTTGAGATTCTCTCCCCCTTCCTTGCCCACAGGAGTACATTTGGCTCTGTTCGCTCATCTTCCATACACCTATATTAAAAAATATATCTTCACTAACTTTATTCCTGGGCTTTTGTGATGCAGAATCAAGACAACTAGAAAGAAATAAACAAAATTTGGGAAACTAGGAGAGGGGACTTATATAAGAAAGAGTAGAGATTTATTTCTGAGAGAAGAAAAGAACCTATGAGAATTTCAAGAGAAAGGTCCAACCTTTTTCAGACATTAGACCTTAGGAAGTAGTGAGAGACATTGAGAACATAACAATGGAGAAATAATATTTTTACAAGATATTGAGAACATAAAATGGAAAAAGAATATTTCTCTGTGCCTTATATTCTGATTGTATATGTGTGTATATGTGTGTCTTTCTTAAGAGACTGTAGGAAGTATTTAAATTGCTTTAATTTACTTTCGATTACTGGATTATATTTATTCCTTTGATCTCAAAGCAACACAATTTATGTTTCAAACATTTTATTAGTATAAACTTGCAAATTTGATTAATAACATTAAGGTTATTTCTAATTTTTCACTATTATATATAACATATGGCTTCCTTTACATGCTATTTTTTGCTCTCATTTTCAACTATTTCTCCTAGAAGAGTTAATGGATCAATGAGTAGGAATACTCATATTTAAGCCTTGAATCCACAGTGTAAAATCATTTTATAGAACTTCTCTCTAGATTTTTTGTGTTCTTTCTTCTTATTCTAATAAGTAGTCCACAGGATGGACTTGATGATAGTTACTGAATTTATAAGTAAGGACCCAACTCTTTATCTTCTAACTGGGTCTCCCCTTTGAACTTTGGAGGGATATATCCAACTACCTGCTGGATATATTCACTTGAATGTACCTCAGATATTTCAAAATAAAGAGATTTAAATTGTAACAATTCATCCTACATTTTCTGTGCATTACTATTTTAGATAATGCCACACTGTTAAGATACATAAACTAGGGGCCTGGAAGTCATCCTTCACTATCCTCCCTTTTGCTGTCACTCATTTCTCATTAAACAATAAGTTAATGTTCCCCTGAAGTATCTAAGCCCACTCTGCTTCGCCCTTACCAGAAACACACTGTTTGAGGTCTCCATCATTTCATGCTAGGTCTCTCTAACTACAGCCTTGCTTACCCTTCTTTATTACCTTCTCATTCTGGCCAAGTCTGAGCACACCAGGGTTCCTATTTAAAATCCTTCAGTGGCTTTCAAACCCGCTTCATGGCACTTCCCAACATGTGAAGAGTAGGCTAAAGGGTGCCAGAGCTGCAAAAGCCACCAAGTGATCACCTCTGGTTGTCAACAGTCTTGACTACATGAGCAAGTATGGTGCACAGACATTATCCTCTCTCTACAGGCCACAATGTGAAAACATTTGGGAACCTCTGACTACAAGAAAACTCTAGTATAAGATAATTAATTATAGCATTTAAAGCCTTTAATTATGTGGACACTGCCAATACGCCCTCATCTCACGTCACTTTCCCTGTTTCATTTTTCTATTAAGTCCCAAATGTACTGTGCCCTTGATTGTTTCTTGCCTTTTTCCCTCTTCTGCTCTTTCCACTTTTTCCCTCACACCAGTCTTTGCCACACTTTAAGAATCAATCATCTACCAACTTTCATTTTGTTAACTTATGGATTAGTGTCTCTTAAAACCTAGTCTGTAAATGACATGCATCACAATTACATAAGACTTATTTTTGAATTGATATTTTGGTACAACGCAGGAACAATGAAATCATAGCATCAGGAGTTGGAGCACAGAAACCTATCACTTAAATGACTGCCCCCCCCGATGTGTTTATTTTACACATTAAATTTTTTAATCCAATGTCATATATATAATCTCACTGACCAATGTACTTTACAAAATATGATTATATATGTCAGGAAACAACAAAAGCATAGTGAATTAAATAAATGTTTGAGTCTTCATAAATATTAGTTTACCAGCCATGAACAATTAACAGTGAAATATCCACTAGGAAAAGGACATAATAAAAATTATCCTTCTTTAAAAAAATAGTTATATTGATGGCAAGGACTACAACTGACCCTAAGAACTAATAAAATATATTTTTGTGACAATCTATCATCTAAGCAATTCCAGTATGAATTACTACCTTTTAGAGTTTTTAAAAAAATGCCTTAAAGAAATGTACTTGATAGAATACATGTTTGGTATGATATCTGGATTTTTTAAAGCCAGTTTATTCCCAAAGCTCATGGCTCTCTGAAATTCTATCATCTGTCACACAATAAATTCCCTTTGAGGGTATATAGTATGTTGATATTTGAAATTATACCTGCAGCACATGTAGCTGGTGATGAATATATGCTAAATTATCTTTAAAACCTGTATTTCTTATTGTTTGAGAAATAGATTATTATTCACAGATGGAACCTACTTACAACCTTGATTGACGATCTTTTCACTGCATCTCTCTCCCTTATGTTTTTCTGATTTACGATTAACAATTATATTTACATTAATGCTTCTCTTCATAAAGCCAAAAGTCTGGATGCAGAGTTTCCATGCTGTATCTATAAAAGGCTATTTAATTCAGAAGGACCAAAAGTTTTAAATTGTCCATGGTCTTATGAATAATGACATTGGTTTTTCCAAATTCTGACCTTGTGATATGGTTCTGTGAAAACTACTCACATTAAAAAATAATTTAAGCATCTAAATCAACAATTCAGTGGCTTTACTTGTGCACTCCAAGCCTTAGATATCTCTGCAAAATAGAAATAATAAAATTTTCATCACAAGGTTTGAATTAAATGAGATAAACTTGTAAAAACATTCAGCCTAATGTCTGACATAGAGAAACTGGGTAACAGAGATTAGTTGTATCTGGTAGGCAAGGAAAGCATGAATCATAGACTACTCTAATTTAAAAAAAAACTTTTAGAGATGTATTATCTCCAAAAACAAAGAATATGAGAATAAAAGGGTAGGGAGCAGTGGGCTGCTTTCACTATTGACATTGAGTCCCTCTATATAGACACAATTGCATATTTCCCCGCCTACAGAAAAAACTACGTTTATGCAAACTTTGCCTTAGTTCTAGAGCTATTCTGAACTTCAAGCAGTTCATATAGCTAGCCTGCTAGCTGAAGCAGCTGAGCAGAAAGAATTAAACAGCACATATATTTCCTGATTTCAGTTGCTCCACAGAGGGGTTGTTAAAAAAAAAAAAGCCAGAAAACAAAGAAAGTTTTGATATAATGAGGTTAGTGAAGAGAACGCAATTTATATTTACATCTATAATTGAGTTTATAATTACAGAAAGTAATGCTTTAATTATTTTATGATTACTTTAGGATAAATTGTAGAAATACAGTTGATACTATAATGGGTAGGCTGTGAAGGCTTCTTTTAAGGATCCTAGTCTGTGAAAGTATTAAGTAGCTCCTTGCAATACTGTGTTTGATGTAATTTTCAGGCACTGATACATAAAATGTAAAGCTTTACATTTCATTTTTCCTCTCTTTCCTTACCCAACCTCTGGTATAGGTGCTAACGATAAGTGAAATGAGGTTAGAGAGAAATAGGAATTCCTAATCTACAAACTATGTATGCTGTTTGCCGAATCTAAGTTGACCTTAACCTCAAAATATAACTACTTTCATTAGGGCTAATAATTTCGAAGCAAGCTTGATTATATTTTCTTCCGGAAAACATTTCTTCATAGATAAGACTAGTTTTATTTTTCAGAATAAAATTTCTACCTCTATCTACATGTGAAAATAGTAGCCAGATCCATGCACAGACTTCTGACATCATTTTAAAAAGTAAGATGATTTTCTTAGGCAAAAATGTCTGTACAGCTTTTTCACACATGCCCACCCCACTAGAGTGTACATGCCTGGAGAACAGTGGACCTTGCTCATTTTAACTGCTTAATAT